TGGTGTTGACTGATTTTGTGTAATTTCTCCCAGTCTGGCAGAGTGAGGCTGCTTTCTGCACATGCTCACTAGCCACTTCCAGAAGCTCACTCTTCTTGTCCTCCTTGGTTGGGTGTGCTGGTAGCAAGCCACAAGGTGCGAGATGGACGGGTGAGGCACTCAGTGTTGTGTATAGTGTTTACTTTAACTAGGTTTGTTGCTGTGAGTCAGTTGTACTCACATTTAGTTTTCAGAGAGGCCTGCTCTGTGACATAGTTTGTACTACTGTCCGTTCCATCTTATTAACAGCTGTGGCATAGGAGAGCTCAGTTTGCATACAGGAGGTTCACCTGCTTCCTACCTGTCTTATCCACAAGTGACCATAATTAGAAGCTCTTAGGGGGACACTGTGAAGGAGCAGGGAGTGGATTTTCCTCTTTGTGTGTTCCTGCCCCTCACTTCAACTCTCTCAAAGCACTTTTTTGCCAACCTATGGCTCAGTGTGCACACTTCCCAACACTCTTTGTTTGACCAATGTTCAACAGTGCAATATCCTTTTTCTCTGTATTTCCTTCCTTCCACCTTAACTCCATTCCCATAGGACCTTAAAATTCCGATGGTAATGGATGGTTGATAATTGATCTGGCACTGCAGCACCCTCTTATATTTGCTTGGAAGGCAGATGTGTAGTGTAGAAATCTTAACGAGTGTCACCTGGAAATTTTCTTAACATTTTATTCATTTATTGGAGAGCAAGAGAGAGCATGAGAGAACAGGAACTGGGGGGAAGGGCTGAGGGAGAGGGAGAAGCAGACTCTCGGTCAGGTAGGCAGTCAACACCAGGCTAGATGCAAGGACCCTGGGATCCTGACCCAAGATGAAGGTAGATGCTTAACTCACTTAGCCACTCAGGAGCCCCTCCTCACATTTTTTTTAAATTTAATTATAAAATTCTACCATTTAACATAGTTTTTTTACTATTTTAACATTTTTTGTGTGTATACTTCAGTAGTATTAAATCCATTACATTGTTGTTCAACCAGTACCACCAGCCATTTCTAGAATACTCTTCATATTGAGAAACTAAATATTTCTGCTCATTCAACAGTAACTCCCCATTATTCCATCCCTCCAGTCTTTGGAAAGTACCATTGTGCTTTCTCTTTCCATGTGTTTCACTACTTTAGATTCCCCAAAGAAGTGGAGTTATGCTATCTTGGTCATTTTTTGACGTTTCATTTGCCATAATGTCCTCAGGGTACATCGATCTTTCAGTATGTTACAGAATGTCTTTGCTTTTTGAGGTTTAATAATACTCCAGTGCAGGGCATATCTCATTTTGTTTATCCATTACTATTTGTGATAGACCTTTTGGTTTCTTCCAACTTTTGGTAGAAACAGGAATACATAAACGTTCAATTTTGGGGTATTTTTATATTCTGTCCACTTTTTAGTATATAGCAGAAGTGGATCGCTGTGTCATAGGGCAATTACATTTCTAAATTTTTTAGAGAGATTTATGCTTGGTAACTGGAAAAACTATGCTCCAGGCTGTGTTATCAAAAGCAAGTTTCAAGGAACGGAGAGAGTGATCACTGGTCACGATTGAGGCACCAACATCTTGGTGCATCACAAAATCCTAGGAGAGTTTACAGTTTTGCTACGGTGCATTGTAGTAATCAGATGTCAATAATAGGTCTGAATGGAATTGTGAAGCCACGTCTCACGGCTCACTGGTCGGCTCCTGAGTAGCAGTTTGGGTATCCCTTGTAATATGTTTTCTTTCTTCTTTTGGTAAAAGAGCCAAACCTGCAATTATTTAGTTCTTACTTATTTGCATTAGTTCATTTCCATTAGTTCAATAAGTTCATTAGTTCAATTAGTTCAATAAAGAACGTATAAAACACTGTTCTAAAATATTTCAAAGGCTTGGGAGGAAGTCATTTTGCTACGCTCTAGTGTCTCTCTCAGTTCTTTTTCTGTCAACTATCTGTAGTGGCAGAAACAGGGAACAGGATTTTGCTATCATCCAGCTCTGTGTTGAAAACTATTAACTCTGCCATGAAACTCTTGATACTTTTCAGCTTGATTCATTATGTGTAAAAATGGGAGAGTGGTAGTTTCTTTAATATTTTGTTATGACAATTTATCTATGATATATCCAAAGTGATTGACAAGTACCAGATGAGCAATTTAGGAGGGTAATCTTAACAGATACAGTAAAAGCATTTGACGAAACCTACATCCATTCCAAAGAGAAACTCCTAGTGAATAAGGAATTGAGGGGAGTTTCTTCAATGAGAAAAAAGCTGAACCAAAATCTACATCAAATGTCATACTTGATGGGGAAAGTCCAAATGCTTTCTCCTTAGTGTCAGAAATAAAGGAAGATTTTTGGCTTTCATCACTTGTATTTTGATTTGCAGTAGAAATTACAGTCAACGCAATAAGGCACATAGAAGAAACAAAAGCCATTTAGCTTGGAAAGGAAGAAGTGAACTTATATTTATTAACAGAGGGCATAATTGTGTGAAGAGAAAATGACAGGGAATCTACAAAGAAAGCTACTCGTATACATTGGTTTAAGAAGTTAAATGTAGGGATGCCTAGGTGGCTCAGCTTTTGAGCGTCTACCTTGGGCCCAGGGTGTGATCCCGGGTCCAGGGATGGAGTTCCACATCAGGCTCCCTGAGAAGAGCCTGCTTCTCTCTCTGCCTATGTCTCTGCCTCTCTCTGTGTGTCTCTCACGAACAAATAAATAAAATCTTAAAAAAAGAAAGTGAATTGTACACCTAACGTGTGATCCAGCCATTGTACTCTCAGAAATCGATCCAAGACACATGAGAGCATATGTCTAAAACATCTTGTACACAAATATTCACAGCAGCTTTATTTGTAAGAGCCCCACTAGCACGAATCCATATAGTCATCAACAGGTGAATAGACCAACTGTTTTATAGGCACAGGATGGGTTCTACACAACAACATAAGGAAACAAAGTCTTGATAATTATGACTATGAAAGAATCTCAAAATAATTATTCTGAGGAGAAGCCATGCAAAAGAGTACATATGATTCCATTTACACAAAATTACAAACTATGCAAACTAATTCATGACAAAGATTTCCCTGGAAAATGGCTGTGCTGAGGGTTGAGAGAAGGATCACAAAGCAATAGGAAGAAACTTTTGGAGTGATGCATCTGTTCATTATCTCGATTGTGATGATGACTTCACAAATACATGCATACAACAAATCTTATAGAATGTTTCATTTGGTGCCACTTATTGTGATGTAAATTATGTATTGATAAATCCATTCAATATCCAAATTTTATATGCAGCATTTGCCCTCACTGTGGTACAATTCCTCTAGAGTGACACGAAATGCAAAATATTTCTCCTGTAGACTTTCATTGGCCTGAAATTGTGTTATTTTATTAAAGTTATACATAATGACTTTTTGCATCTATTTGCTATCCAATTATTTTTCAATCAACATCATCTGAACCTATTTGCGTTGTTCCTGCTTATCTGAATAGAAGTTTGTAGGGGCTTGCAAAAAAATTCCTTCCTAGCATAGATTTGAAGCAGGTTTCTGACAAATAATTTGGAAGGTGGAGGGGAAGTGAAGAGACACGTTACCTAACACAGGATCCAAGCCTGAATTTCTTACTTTTCTCTGCATCTGGGAAAGCGTTACACCAAGTTGGCTCTGAACTCATAAAGTTCTGAATGTGTGGGGAATCACCTCCAAGAAACAGCTGGGTTAAGCTGCCTATTGTGTCCAGAGATCAATGTTTACAGGGCTTTACAAAAATGGGTCCCTCTCCAGAACTTTCTCCTGATAATCCTGATTTCTTCCCTGTGCGGAAAATTATTTGATTAACATTTGGCAACACAACGTGACAGACGGATGGTGTAATGGAAAGCATCTTTGAGGCTAAACTTGTTAAGAGGATAAGATTAGTATTTGTTGTCTGATTCACAATCACTTGTCACCATATGTTGGAATCAACAAAACAGTGAGAACAGAAGATAAGAATCACAGGTCATTCTACAGGGATTTGACAACTTCATGTATGATCTTTCTTCTACCTAGAGTTCCTACTTTTCACTCTTTAATGATTCTGAAACTCAGGAATATTGACTATTAAAATGGTTGACTACAAATAGTGTGACTTCTTCTGAAAGCTTTTGTTAAAAAAACAGTATTTCTGGAACACCTGGCTGTCTCAGCAGTTGAGCCTTTGGCTCAGGTCGTGATCCCTGGGTACTGGGATCGAGTTCTACATCAGGCTCCCCATGGGGAGCCTGCTGCTCCCTCTGCCTCTATCTCTGCCTCTCTCTCTGTGTGTGTCTCTCATGAATAAATAAATAAAATCTTAAAAAAAACAGTATTTCTTGTAACCGTTACTAGTTTAGGAACAAGTAAATATGGTATCTCAATTAAAGGGAATTTGTTCATTATTTTATTAATTTAAGAAATATTTAGTGAGTACTTAAAAAGTGACAGTCGCAGTTCTAAATATTGGGGTGCAGTGCCAAAAACCACAGACTCACTCAGCAATGACTTGTCTTCTTTATACTTATTCTGTATTCAACCCCAACCCCTTTTCTGGCAGTCAGGGGGTTATAGGCTGGCCCACAATGGATACATGAGGATATTATAAGGTACTGTAGTAAAATGCTCTATCAGATTGCTACCCTGTCAGAGATAAAAATGCCCTGGGATGCTTTGTTAAAGAATTCCATTTCCGGGGGTGTCTGAAGAGGAAAATAGACCTGAGAGTTTGGATTCTTGTTCTTCAGAGTTCCAACTGCCACCTGAAGCCTGCCATGTGCCTCATGGAGTCTGGGATGAAACAGGTTGCTGAGTTTGGGAGACCTGTGGGCAACACACACAAATTTCAGTCCCTGTCCACTAGGGGATGCAGCTTCCTATCACAATCACATTTCCTGTGTGAACTGAGGGCTTTCACTAAGCATTTCTTTGTCACTCTATGTTTCTTCACGTTGAAGAATGAAGAACATTATTTAGGTGACACTCCAGAGATGAAGTGTTCTTCAGGCATCGTGATTGTCTTACTCTTCATGCTAGGTAAGGAAAATACCTCAAAAATTTACATTTTTTATTCCCCATTGTGTCAGCAAAACTTTTAACTATGATTTTTCCAAGAGCGTTATGCCTGCTCAAGGTGACACAGGTCTCTTTTTCCCCAGGACAAACCCATGGAGACTCAGTGAAACAGATGGAAGGCCAAGTGACCCTCTCAGAAGAGGCTTCTTTGACTATAAACTGTACTTTCTCAACATCAACGACACCCACTCTCTTCTGGTATGTCCAGTATCTGGGAGAAGGTCCACAGCTCCTCCTGAAAGCATTAAGAGACAAGGAAAAGGGAATCAACAAAGGATTTGAAGCAACCTTGGACAGTTCATCCAAATCCTTCCACTTGAAGAAAGGCCCAGTGCAAATGTCAGACTCAGCCGTGTACTACTGTGCCCTGGGTGACACAGTGATGGGGACTGCAGGGGGAGCTGAGCACAAACTCAGAGTAGAGCAGGGGCCTGGATGCTGAGCCTCTCTGACTGATCCAGTCTGGTTCCAGCGCAGTCGGTGGTTGTTTGTCTCTCGGCGTCTGGTTCATGCAAAGTCATACAAATGGATGGAACATAGGACCCAAGATAATATAATACTCCCCACCTGGCTATCCATTAGTGACTTAGACAACAGTTTGGTGCCATTCGTTCCTCAGCCAGGGTGTAAGTAATTTCAAGGTAAAACCACATAACAATGAAGTGGTCTCTTGCTCATCCTTGCAGGGAAAGTCCAGCCCCACAAGTTGTTCAGCCACTCTGGTGGGTTGACACTTTTAGAGGAACTCAGTGTGCCTGAGAATGTGGTTTCTGCCCAGTGTGTCTATGACAGAGTATGTACGACGGCAGGAGGGATGGGAGAGCTTCAGCCCCCAAACCAGGTTTTAGGAGAGAAAGAAGGGAAGGGAAGAAAGGAGGGAAAGCAGTGTATCTGAGCAAGGAAAGAGCGGCCAGGGACCTCTGCCCTGCTTTCTTCTCTAATAAATCAGGTGGTAGACATGGGCTGGTATTCAAAATGAAGGTATGGGGACAGACACATAATGAAGTGGCTCATATGTAAATCACAAATTGTGCCCCTCCTTTCATCTTGGTGAGTACATAAATCATTAACCTACCTACAAGAAGGCCTTGAGGCCTTGAGATGGTCTTGCAGTACCAAGGGAAGATGGAGTGTACATATTCCTCTCTGTACCCCTCTGAAGCCCTGTTAAATAGTTGATAAGTAATTGTAAAGGGTATAAACTGACAAAGATAACTGAAAAAGATGACAAACGACAGTGATATTAGAAAAATTTTAGAGGTTGAGCTGTATGTATATGGTGCAATCAATGCAAACCTGCTGAGCAGACCAAATAAAGAAGTAACCAAGGAGCACATAGTAGAGAAGCACCTCAGTGTGTGCTGTACCCTCTGGAGAGGGTAAGGAAAAAGTGGCACCAATTACATTTTAATATTATGGTAGATAGTGTCGCGCGCGCGTGTGTGTGTGTGTGTGTGTGTGTTGAATGTTTGGAAGATCATAGGAGGACTGAATGAGAAAATATATAAGTAATGGACGACCCATGTTCTTTACCTGGGCCTATATAATAAGCAGTGATCACTTCTCAAACTCTATAGAAGAATGGAAGATAGTATGAACTGAAGAATAGCACATCAAAAAGTCAGATAGCCGAACTTTTCAGTATATCTGTGTTGGGGATAACGACGGGAGACCTGTACCCCAATATTCACAGCTACAATGTCCACTGTTGCCAAACTGTGAAGCGAGCCAAGATGTCCTTTGACAGATGAATGGATAAAGAAGATGTGGTCTATATGCACAATGGAATACTACTCAGTTATCAGAAAGGATGAATACCTGCCATTAACTTTGACGTGGATGAAACTGGAGGGTATGATATTCAGTAAAATAAGACAATTGGAGAAAGACAATTATCATATGGTTTTGTTCCTATGTGGACTCTAGGAAATAGTGAAAGGGATCATAAGGGAAGGGGGAGAAACTGAGTGGGGAAAAATTAGAGAGCAAGACAAACTATGAGAGACTCATAACTCTGGGAAACAAACAAAGGGTTTGCAGAAGGGTTGATATAGTAATTTGGGATTAAGTAAAGCACGTGATGAAATGAGCCCTGGGTGTTATACTACATCTTGGAAAATTGAATTTAAATTAAAAAAAAAAGTGGAAATCCAAGGTGGCTCAGTTGGTTGTCATCTGCCTTTGGCTTAGGTCATCGTCAGCATCCTCGGGCTGAATCAGGCATGGGCCTCCCTGCTCAGTGGAGAGTCTGCTTCTCTCTTTCTCCCTCTGCCTCTCCCCCCCTTACTTGTACTCGTGATCTCACTAATGATCTTGCTCATGCTCGTGTGCCTGTGTGCTTTCTCAAATAAATAAAACCTTAAAAAAGTCAGGAAGCCAAAACAATTAAAATAGTAAAATATAATGATTCAATTTAGGGAAAATATCGTTCAGGGTAGGAACATATTCATACTAGTCTGTATTTTTCAACTAAACAGTCTTCTAGATTAGTTTCAGTAATATTTACTGCTAATAGTGATGATTGGTCAGAAAACCTATGTCCCCATACCTTATGTATTGCTGAGTTTTTTGGCTTTTGCTTGTCCGTTGGGCTTCCCTTATTATTAATAGTTTCTCTAATTATGAATGAGATGGAGTTTCATTTCATATATTTAAATACTGTTCGCATTATTTCTCTATAATTTGTCCACATATATATCTGCCCATTCCTACTGTGTTACTGTCTTTTAAACATACAGATTTTTAAGGCCCATTGTCTATGTTCAGAAAATTGTATTATGACTGTCATGTATATGTGGCTTCTTAAAATGTTTGTTATTATCCTTTACACTTTGTGAAGTTTTTTTGCCATCTAGAATTCTTAAAATAGCATAGTGTAAATTTAACAATTTTTCAAATAGATTCTGAGTCATGTGTCCTGCGTAACAATCCACAGCACTCTAAAATGGTAAAATTTATTCTCACGTGTTCTTTAGTTTCTCTCAAATTATTTTTATCTTTAAATCTTAAGTGCAACTTTGTATCCTTTGTGTTCCTCTTTAAGAGGAGGAATTAGACTTGGGTTTGGAGATGGGAAGAGTCTCAGCTACTTGAAATGTCTTGAAATCTGCTGCTGCTGCCTCAGTGTTCTGGACCCTATCATTGTGTTGAAGGAAATTTCCTGACTTTTCTTCCATTACTGCATATACTTCCTGATGAAGTTCATGAAAATCCGTCGTGGTAATGATGAAGTTTTGGAATATAGGTGAGGTCCGCAGCTGGCGACCAAGAAGGAATTCTAGACACTTCTTTGGTGCAAAATGGTGGTTTTACTAAGGCAAGGGGGCAGGACCTGTGGGCAGAAAGAGCAACTGCCCAGGGCATGTGAGGGGTGGCTGATTATATACTTGCAGAGTTGGAGGAGGGAAGGAAAAGGGAGATTCCAAAAGGATTTTCATATGCTAAGAGGACCTACAAGATACTGGAGGCCTTGCCATTGTCAAGATAAAGATTGCTTTTCCCTCTAGGAAGGCATTAACATTAAGACAACTGGAAGCTTCCTGAAGAATATCCCACATATCCCACCCTGGGTGGGGGTGGTTTGCGGGACTTTAGTTGTGCTTTGTCCTCTGCCAGCCCTGCTCCCACATCAGTAACTATCCTTGCCTTTCCTGAGGCTGCTGTTCAAAATGGGCTTTATTTCAAATATAGTGCCCTTATTTTAAGCAGAACGGGAATGGACAGGAATGGACTGTTACCTTGTCTGAGACTCTTTCTCTCTCTCTCTTGCTCTCTCTCACTCTTGGTTTCCCTCTTCCTTTCTCTTCCCCTCTCTCCCCTCAACCCTCTCCTTCCTGAGTTTGCTGGACTGATTTTGTGTTTTAATTCTTCCCTGAAGGGAGTGTCCTGAGGGATCAACCATTTCTGGGGCTACAATATCTTCACCATCAATACTTAACCATACATGGTTAAGTATTGTGAAACACAACACTTATTCATGAAAGTATATAACACAAACAAACCATCTATATTATTTAGGTGTATACACATTTGAAACTAATTTTTTTCGAATATGAAAGTTCTTCATTGATTTTTAAATGTATTCTCTGTATTAGTCAGGGTTCTCCAGAGAGACAGAATCTAAATAAGATCAATAGCATGTGCACGAATGGGTGTGTGTGTGTGTGTGTGTGTGTGTGTATGTGTGTAAAGAGATTGACAGACACAGAGAGAAAGAGATTTTAGGAATTGGCTCAAGTGATTGTGGAGACAGGCAAGTCCAAACTCCATAAGGCAGGTGGGTAGGCTGGACCCCGGAAAGAGTTGGTATTGCAGCTTGTGTCCCAAAGCAGTCTGGAGGCAGAATTCCTTCTACCTCCAGGTCCTCGATCTATTTCTCTTAAGATCTTCAACTCCTGAGATGAGGCCTACTCATGTCATGGAGAGTAATCTGCTTTTCTCGGTCTATTGACTTAAACATTAATCTCATCTAAAAAATACCTTTATAGAGGCTCCTGATTGGCTCAGTTAGTCAAGTGTATAATTGTTGATTTCAGCTCAGATCATGATCTCAGAGTTGTGGGATGGAGCCCCATACTGGGCTCTGCACTTGGTGTGGCGCCTGAGATTCTTTCCTTCCTTCTCCCTCTGACTCTGTGTCTCAAGAAAACAAAACAAAGCCCACCAAAACCAAAACCAAAACCAAAAAAAACCCAAAACATAAAGACCTTCACAGTGACTTCTAATTTGACATTTGACCAAATATCTGGGTATCATGACTTGGTCAAGTGGACACATAAAATTAACCACTGTGCCTTCTTTACCTCCAATAATTTTATTCTGAAAGCCTAGTTTCTATTATACGCATACAATATGCCAGGTTTCTTTTGGTTATTTCACACGGTCTGTCTCTTTCCATCCTTTGCATATACCACTCTGTGTCCTAAACTTAAACTTGCAATAAAGCCTCATACATATATCTACACTCTCAACTATTCATTGAGAAAATAGAAGTAATAAGAGGAGAACTTTCACGAGCTTCTAACTTACCACATGCCAGGTCTGTGCTCAAATATTGTGCCTTTCTCTTCCTAGATTGTAATTCCACGAGAGCAGAGATTTTGCTTATTCTCAACACGTATGAGCATACCTGACAAACAGTAGGCCTACAAAAAAATCTGTTGAAATACAAATGAGTACTAAAAATAGTACTGTTAGTACTAGAGCAAAACATCATCATAAATTCATTCAATAAACCTTTGTTATGTGCTTTTTTCTACAAACTGAGGGTATAGGAGAGAATAGAACAGGATCCTAAGGAGTTTATTTTTAGTTGAGGGCTAAATCCAAATGATTCCCTTCTGTAGGCATTTTATATGCATCTTCTCTTTTG